TGAGCCCTCATGATCCCTGCTTAGTTGATTGTGTGGTCCATGTTCTCCTGATGTCCTGAGTGCTCTGACTTCTGCAACCCTTCCCCCTCTCTTGTCTGGGGTTCCCTGAGCTGTTGTGGATGGTACATGAGCTGATCCAGAGTAACAGAAGGGCCCATAGGATTCATCTATGTCCTGGACCTCCTGGGCTTTGCTGTCACTCTCTCTGCCTTGGACTCTGTATCTTGTGTCCCACTCTCTACCATGCTCTGTGTCATGGGCTCAGGAGCCCTGGCCCCTCACACACACCACACACCAAGATCTCTCTGAGCATCTGTATCATTTCAACATCATTCTGTGGAAAGGCTGGGGTTCCTCACCTGAGACCAGGAGCTCAAGGGGGTCACTAGGTTCTGACCACACCTGTGGACTGTTCTTGTTGAAGCTGTAGCATCTGAATATCCACCTTTGTCTGGAGGTCACAGGGCCCACAGAGAACAGGGCCTGGTACTTTCTAGTATGGGAGTTATATTGCGAGTCCAGTGTCCAGGAGAGCTTCTGAGGTCCTTCCTTCATCAGAACAAACCTGTGATATGACTGCCCTGAGACACACTGGACGGTTACTTTCCCTCCTTCAGTCACCACAGGGCTCGGCTGGGCTGACAAGCTGGGTTTACTGTAGACTCCTAGAATTGAAGAATGAATCAGTCATTATCCTCCATGGCTGTGAGGTGGAGATAGCCATGTGAATAGACACACTTTTTGACAGTCTTGAGGCTGGGGACCCTGTGTGTCCTCTCACCTGTCACCACTAGCTCCAGGGAGTCACTGTACTCTGACCATCCATCATGGGTCTGATATTGACAGTGATATCGCCCTGCATGGCGGTGATCTATTTCTGCGATTGAGAATTCAGTCTTGGTCTTGGGATTCCGTGGAATCTCTATGTGCCTTAAATATTTGTGTCCATCTTTGTAGAGACTGTACTCTTTGACTCCTGTGGTCCCCTCACACAAGAAGGTCACTGTAGTCTGTGCAGAGACCACAAAGTCTGGTTGTACCATGAGGATAGGCTTAGGGAGAGCACCTGCAAGGAAATGAGCAGCTGGTACCCAGGACAGTCATCCTCAGATTGCAGCCCACAAACCTGACCCCCCAACCATTCTCAGGGGCAGCAAACATGCATTATTTTCCATCCTCACTGCCCAGGCATGGCTCCAAGATTTGATGAGAAGTAAAGGTCAAGACATCTGCAGACACTCACTCACCTTCCAGCACTGGGATTCTGAGGCCCAGAATCAGTCCTATAAGAGAGTTCCCTTTAAGCAGTTAATTCCTGAAGCCTAAGCAGTCCCCGCGTCCTCCTGTCCCCCCCGCTCCCCGGCGCCATCTGCAGTATGTCCTGAGAACCTGGGGTTTCCTGATGGACCAGTGCTGGGCTGTGTGGCATTGTTATTCCTAGACTACAGTATCTGTTCCCCATCTCCACATCTCACCCATATAGATCAGGGCTTTGAAGGTGAAGGTCATGGCATCTCCTCCTGGAGGCTGCAACTGTGCTTATGGGCAGAGCTACAGAGACTGTCTGGAGGGTCAGGAGACACAGGGTGTGGTCTCTGGAGGCAGGGCACTTCACTTGACATGGTTGTACTAGAGCAGTCCCACAGGAAGGGGAAGTGCCCCCCTCAGGCACCAGGCGCTGACTTCCCCAAGGCTGTGTCTTGGTCTGGTAGTAGACTCTGCAATCAATTCTTTGATGGATGACATTTCCATAATCCCATAAGTGTCTGTCTCATCTATCCTCATCATTGCAGGACCAGGTGATATCAGACATGTATGAATATTACACATAAGAAATACAAAATCACATGTGGGTTTGCTTGATTACTTTTCACATTTTTTATGTGAAATATTTCTTCATATTCAAAATGTTTGCAGGTTTCTGTGAAGGGTCTCGCTGTGTACATCTGCATGCAATGAAATTTATAACCCTCTTTCTCATAGTCTCAAGTGCTAGGTTACAAATGTGCACCACTATTTCTGGACATTTGTTCTTTTTTGATGTGTACACTTACTATTACAACTTTAAATTACACTTATTTATTTACACTTGTATCTTTAAATTACATTTATTTAATAATAAACAAGTACACCTGTTGTCTTCATTATGTGTGTACATTCACAGGTGCTAAGCACAGTCACAGAGGTCAGAGGGCACCTACAGAAGGCAGATTTGTCCTTGCATGATGTGGGTCCGAGTCAGGGCTGAAGCGTGGCAGCAGCACTCATACACTGGTCCGTGTCACTAGCCCAATGTTAGCGTCATCACTTTCCTTAGTCCTTCTGTTCAGGCAAAAAATATTCATCAAGTCCTGGGCGTCCTGGGCCAAACAAGGTTTCAGCATTATTTGACTTTCTTGGAGGGCAGGTTGTTGGTGTGGCCACACTTCTTTTTCAGGCAGTTGAGCACACAGGGGTGCTGATGTGTGCAGCACTTCTGGGCAGCAGTGCATGGACATGTCTCAGTTGTGTTTCTGGAGAGACTAGCAAAGGGATGGCTTCTTGATGCTACCACACAGGCATAGCACCAGTTGGTGTGTTGGACTCTTTGTGGACCTTGCTGTTGGCTAGGGTGCAGCCACCCTCTATCTGCCGGCAGCAAATACCTGCCACTTCTGGTGGGGTGGCATGTCTTCCTTGTCATGGATCTCAGCCTTTTCATTTTCAATGGAGTCACTCACTGGGCTGGCCCTGGAGGGTGATGGTCTTGCTCTTCAGGACCTTACCAAAGATCTGTATGTTGGTGTCTGCATGGACACCTAGTTGAAGAGAAAGTGAGCTCAGTAAAAATATTTTATTTCCTTTTATTTTTGGTGCAAGGGATTGATGGCAGGGCCTCCACTTTATTCTGTAATTTTCAATTTCTGATTTACTTAATTTTTTTTCATCTGCTATCTTTCTCTCATGCTTATGAGTTTAATTATTTTTGTTGTTAATTTCAGACAGGTTTTCTTTGGATCTCTGGATGTCGTGGAGCTGGTTATGTAAAGCAGAAATGGGCTGGAACTCATAGAAATCCTCCTGCCTCTGTTTCCCAAGTGTTTGGATTAAAGGTGTGGACCACCAAATCTGGCCATGGGCTTAATATTTTAATTGTTTGAAAATGTCATATCAGCATGTAGTGTATTTTGATGGAATCCACCCTCCCACCCTATCCTCTTCTCCCTCACCCTCTCTTGCTGGTTCCTTACTCACTGTCCTGATTTTCTTCTTGATTCTTTCTGTGACCTGCTAGTTGTTGAAAATACATTGCCTTTTCTTACATACCTAACATTCTGTTCTCTTCCTCCAATGCAGCTCAATTTGTGCTTCTCATAGTCTTGGGCATACACCAGTAATGAAAACTGACTCTCCCTCTTTCAATAGGCATGAAATACCAATAGCTCTTCCTCTCTGGGTGAGACTTTGTGCCCATCTCCCATCCCTGTACTGGATTTATTCTGCATTGAGCTTAGATGGGGCTTGTAGATGTCATCACAACCACTGTAGCTCAGATGTTCGACTGTTGTG